AGAAGCCATCGCTGCGCAGTCGCATTGCAGCCGGAGTCAAAGGGCACAAAGACCAGGAAGCCAAAGCACAGAAGAACGGCCTGGGCAGGCGACAGTCAGTCCGGAAGAGCGACCCCCGCGCGCAGGAGTATCAGGCGCAGGAAGAGAGCCGTGTGCAGCAGTGGCACCAGCACCAAGGGTCGACTTCTCATTTGCCCGCCTCGAACGAGCAGGACGAAGACAACCTCGACCCCTTCCTGCAGAAAGACGATACGCCCCAGGTACCGCCCAAGGACATCCAGTACCAACAGAACCTGCCGCAGCCTCAGCAGTTTGCGCCGCAGCCGCGTCAGGAACAGCTGCAGCAGCCGTACAATCGGCCCCCACTTGACAGGGTAAGCACGGAGGGAAGCTATTCGACCCAAGGCGGGGTAGACCAATACAGCCCTGAGCAACACCAGGGCCAGGGTCTCCAGCAGCCACGGCACCAGCAACAGCAACAGCAGTACCAGAGCTACCAGCCAGCTGTCCAGCACCCACAAGCCCCGGGCGACTACCAGGCCTTCAACCCACAAACCGTGCCAAGCCCTCTGCTCCAGAACGCTCAGCTGCACGGCCAAGGTGGCCCAGTCTCGCAAGACATCCAGCAAACGTACTACCTGTACCAACAGCAGCAAGCTAAACTCCAGGCCCAGGGCCATTCGCCGCTAGACAACGCGCAGCAGAACACGCTGTATCCGCAGCAGTTTGCGTCGCAGCTCCAGCCGCATCAAGACCAGCAGCAACAGCCTCAACCTGGCCGGCCAGCCTCGCAGCAGCAGATTGACCTGCAGCCCCCACAGGCGTCTCGCCAGCATCCTCAGATCGCGCCAGAGGCCCAGTCGATCGAGTCGCAGCGCCGTCCCCCTTCGTCCCACCAGCTCGCCCCGCCGTCTCCCCTCCAGCCGCCGTCCCACCAGACCTACGACGCGCAGCATCCCCAGTCGTCCGATCTGCTACCGACCAACATAACACCCCCACACGCGCACGACAGCATGGCGCCTAGTGCTCAGAGCAGTGCTAGGAACACCATCAGGAAAGCGAACGATGGCAGCCAACCACAGCCGGGCGCAACGTCGCGAGAGTCGTCCATGCTTTCACAGCCTCCCGCTCAAGGTCAGCCCCACGGTCAGCCGCCTGTGTCGCCGGGCCTGGCAACATTCGACGCTAACGTCGTTCCAACAGCTTCGCAAGGACAGCCATACCGCGGTGAGAAGCAGCCCCAGCAGGTCTCTGAAATGGGACGGGCAACGCCACCGCCGAGGACATCTGTCGCCGATATGTCAGAGGAGGAGATCGAGAAGCTACAAAAAGAGCACGATGTCTTGCGTGAGTACATTCTCTTTGGACGAGCCGATTGTATCTAACACAATACAGGCGAAAAGTACCAAAAGGTCAAGCGATACTTTTTCGAGCAGCAATCACAGGTCCATCAGCTACAGAACACCCTCGCAAACCAGCGCTTGTCTCTGTCTCGTACATCCTGGGATGACAGCGAATATGCAACACGCTTCAATCGATTGGACGGATTGATAGCGCAGCTGTCCTTCTCAATCCGCAAAGACTGGAAGAGTATACCTACGTGGCTACACAAGGTGGTCAACAAGACAGCTGTCGAGACAGGCAAGCAAGAAATGACGGCTATCGGCCGCGCTGTCATCTCGCAGTGGCTGGTGGAGAACATATTCGAAAAGTACTTCCATCCAGACCTCGAGCCGGGTTTTTCGACGCAGCTGCAGTCAATCGTCTCCAACATCCGCAAGTTCTCGCCGCCTTGCCATAGCGCCGAGGATGAAGACACGCTCGCTGCGAAAATTATCAACTGGCGGCTGGCCACACTGGAGGGCCTCGCCGACACTTTGAGAGCACCACAGGCCACAGCCAATCGCGAGGCGCTCACTGAAACACTTAACGAGAAGCTTATTGCGTTCCTCCAAATGCACTTGAATGACCCTGCGCCTCCAGATCTCAATGGAGGCGTGCCTATGATCATCGAACTCGCCATTAGCATCGCACAACATTTGCCCCTTGAGAGCCGTGAAGTACACATCGAGTACTTTTATCCTGATCATAGCATCGTTCCCGATTTCATGAAGATTGAGTCCGGCATCCCCGCGCTGACGGCACCCATCGTGGAGCGGGACGATGCCGACAGAGCTTCGATCAGAAGCATGGCTTCCAGACCTGACGACAACATGTCGTTAGTGGAACAAGAGCAAGCACAGCTACAGGGAAGCCAACCACCAAGAGAAGACAAGAAGCGCGGCATGTTCGGTTTTGGTGGGTCAAAGAAGCCGACAGCTTCTCCCGCTACTCTGGGCAAGCGAGAATCGTCGCTCGGCCAAGGAGGCAGCCAGCAAAGTCTTACACAACATCCACCGGGTAGTTCTGGTGGACCAAAAGACGAAGTGCCGCCACCACGTGTGCGCATGGCCGCTGGTGTCTTTGTACAGATTCGTGGCAAGAGCATCTTGATCAAGGCACCAGTGTACCAGACGTGAGCGACCTTGATGCGACAATGATAATGAAGATGGACGATTTGGATTGAGCGATCTAGCAAGCAAGCGTTTGATTTATTTCCTTTTCCACTTCTACACAGTATGATTGGGTTCTGAGATTGGATCTACTGCATCTAAAGTATACCCAGGACGATTGATGGCGTGTTTTGGAGCGTTTGTTAGTCGACTTGGAGTGCATGCCGATACCCTCGTTGCTGTTACGGTTATGATTGGAATAAGAACAAATTCTCCTGTATCATGAAAGAGATCCTGCTTTCCGAGCCGCTTCGCGTGAGTGAAAGTGTGGGATTCCGCGATTTGACCGCCCGCAGCACTGAGTTCGAGGCCCAAAACCACGCTAATTGCGGCGTCTTTGGACTCCCATTGGCCTACACCCGCACCTGCCCTTGTTTACCGAATCCAAACATTCTCGTCGCATGCTTGATAAGACTGTTTTGACGATGGAAGACATCGTCGTAACCCCGCAATTCAAGTGTGAGCATGAACGCGAAGGTCCTAAGCCTCGGCAGTTACTGATCAGTGCCAGCGACTAATGCGTCTGTCCCATCACCGACCGCGACACACGTCGCGTGCCTCAACGGCGCGCGCTTGCAGATACGCTGTCTTACCACCTTGGAACTCGTGCGGAGTATAGCCATACCTTCAAGTCATGATCTTAGAAACTCGAGAATCGCCTGGTCAGCACCTACCCTACCACCACTGGCCTCGTCCACGTCGCGACCCTCACCCAACTCGACACCACCCCGTCGATCCTCACGCACACCGCGGCCATGCTCGAATCGCGTCCTCATATCCGATGACGATACAACGCGCGTATACGATCTTCGCGACGAAAAGTGGAACGCCGTGATAAGCAATGGCTCGGGCGGCATGGGCAAGAACGTACATGCCGAGTTTGGCGCAAACGAGGATGAGGTCATTGTCTGGAGCGACTTCACCGCATGTGCCAAGATATGGTGTCTCAAGACTGGCAGAGCCGTAGAAATACGCGACCCGAAATTTGTGGGCAAAGACGGAAAGGGATGGGGCTACCGGCCTGGAGAGGATACAGACTCAAGAGGTGGAAGACGAAGAGGCGGCGTTCTGGCACTCCTATGTCGCGCAGCAGGCGCCGATATTTTATTGCTTCTGGCTCCAGGCACATACAAGGTCATCAATCGCGTCGAGCTTACGACAAGCGATGCGGCAGGGCTGAGATGGAGTCGCGACGGTCGCTGGCTGGCAGTCTGGGACGCAGCCTCTGCTGGCTACAAACTCCACATCTACACTGCCGACGGTCATTTGTATCGCGCCATGACCCGCGAACCCTCAGACGACGTCAGCGAGTGGGATGTGGAAGGCTTGGGCATCAAGACGCTCGAATGGGTGCCTGGGAACGAATGTCTAGCTGTCGGTGGCTGGGACCGTCGCGTCCGTATCCTCTCTACACGAACCTTCGCCCCGGTCGTTTTCCTCGACCACACACCCGTCATCGATGTGCCCAGCGCACCCGTATACAGCGAACATGTCGACAGCCAGGGCAACCGCAGCTTCACAACCTCGCAGCAGCCTGTCACACCTCCAAAAGCAGCCTTGGAGAAGAACGAAACCGGACTCATGAAGCAGGGTATCGGCATGTTGACCTTCAACGCAGATGGCACGCTATGTGCGACGCGTGACGACAGTACACCATGTACAGTCTGGATCTGGGATCTAACCGTGCTCCGACCTCGATGCATAATAATCCAATACAGTCCAGTTAAGAACCTGCTCTGGCACCCCACCGATCCAAACCGTCTGCTCATCCAGACGACCCAAGACGAACCCACCGTATACCTCTACACAGCCGCAACCTCCCACTCACCCTCGTCCTCCACTTCCCATTCCACATCCGCCCAACAATCCTCTTTTCAACACCCTCCAGCCATCCTCACCCTATCCCCTCAGATCAGCAAACCAGCAGGCTCAGCACCACCCCGCTGGTCAACAGCCTGGCTCTTCACCTCGCCAGATAAGAAATCCGCACTCGTCTTCGGTCATCAGCAGGCACACGTACTGGTGTGGCCTGAGGGCAAGGATAAGATCTTACGCTTTGAGCGTGATGATGAGGATGAGCAGGAGGAGTCAGACGACAGTCTGTTTGACATACTCACTGGACGCACGCCGATACCCGAGTTGAACGGGGACAATAGGGAGGAAGAAAGGATGGAGGAAGATGAGTTTGGGGATAGTGTGGGGACCGTGCAGGGCCTTGATGATACATTTAGAGGGAAAGGGGGGAGGGAAGATACGCATGATGAGCGAGAAGACGATGAGAGGGAGCAGAGTCTGTACGAAGAGGGTGTGTTGGGCGAGAGCGGGATGAGCGAGATGTTCTAACGCTTAAGCACTACACCTGTGGAGTTTTGGCGCTTTCTAAGAAATATACCCATATAATTCTCTACTAATAACAACATCGAGAACTTGAAACCCTTACCCTACCATCTATTTCTTCTCGTCCTGGAACCCCCACCTCCCCGTCTGATCCAGACCCAGCGGATTCTGCCCCGTCTGCTCCTTCCCCGCAATACTCTCCGGCTTACTCTCATAGCTATCCTTGTTCTGGCCGCCCAGCAGCTCAGACTTTTCTTCTTCGTGGCCCATGAGGGGACCGAGAGCCGGGCGTGTGGTGCCGCCGAGCGCGTTGCCGAGGGGGCCTGTTACGCCTTTTTCGAGGGGCGCGCCGAGGGGGCGGAGGGCTGTGCCTAGGACGTTGCCTGTGGTGGGTGTTAGAGGGGGGTTGTGCTGGTGGTGATTTGGGTAGGGAGGGAAGGGAGAGGAGACGTACCAATAGGGTCTCCGACCTTGCTCAAAAGGCCTCCAGAGCCCTTCTTCTCTTCTTGCTCGTCATTCTGGGGCTCAGTCTGGATGTGCTGTTGCTGCGGCTCTTCCTTGTCTGACATGATGATCGATTTCGTCTCTTGAGTTTCTCGTGGCTTGGATTATGTAGGTTTGTTGTTTGTTTATTCCAAGAATGTGAAATGTGGTAGGAGCTAGGAGTTTATGGAGTTAGTTGCCTAAGGGTCTTGAGCGCAACGGCTTTATGTTAGTTGCGCAGGTTACGCGGCGCGGCGCGTTTCCAAGCTTCGGGGTGGTTGTGACGTCACTTGTCATGGGTGGGGAGGTTTGACGCGCTCCCTTTCTTTTTGGTGGGGTACGGTACGCGACAAGGAGTTGACGACATCACCGCGGTCGTTGCACCGATCGAGGAATACAGGCGTGAGAGTAGAGATCTAATTTGACCAGGAAAGAACATATGATATAGTGAGCATGGTAGTAGACACTGAGAGCACCGTGCGGAACCTGTCTTCCGTTGATGTCCATGTGCACAAAACTCCACCAGATGCACGTGTTTCCACCACACTCAAAGGACAGCCAGAAGGAAGAAACAAATCCCGCTTCATCATCAAGATGATGCATTCTTCGCCGTGAATTCGCAGTACGCAAAGCAAAAAGAAACAATTTGATGAAACACTTTTGAATGTGCAAGAGGAGACGCGCTCAATGGTCCCGCGTTGGTTGGAGCTCTCAACGGTTGACGCTACGGCGAAGTCGTCTTGCAACTGCACTGTCAGTGTTTGATATCTGATATCAGCGTAAGCCACTTACTGTTTTGGGCAGCAACATGTACTACCGTGTTCAACCCGCTACAGTGGGACGAGCGCTCGGATCGATATCCTCCTTGGTATGATGCGCAAAGATCGAGACGTCGATGACCTTGTCATGCTTGTATCCCACCCTCGGAAGTCTACCAACTCGGATAAACTTGCAAGCGCTTAGAAAGTTGCCTCGCCAATCAGCATCCAAGTCATCGCCATTCTCGTGGTGAACGTTGAGCAAGACGGTCTTGACAACTCTTGACGGCCCTGTCTTGAGATAGTCGAAGTTGTTGACATACTCGTATCCACCACGGGCGCGATAGCTGGTATCGACCATCTCCAAAAGTCGATCCACGAGACACTTGCCGATTCCCTTAGAAACGAACCCTGGGTGGACAAACAACTCCATCTCGAATGTGTAGCGGTATAGAGTCGCTTGACCACAGAAGTCGTCGAGGTGGATGAAACCAACTATCTTTTCGTTGACATAGCCCGGGTCGACCCGGTGCTGGTTGCTCTTGGAGACGGCTACTAGGTACGGGAGGCCTGCGCTGGTAATATCCGTGATTCTCGCAGCGATTTGAGCCACAGTGCGTTCGTCGAACTCGGTTGCGAAGATGGTATCCCTGACATAAAAGTTGTAGATCTCCTATAATCGGTGTTAGCAGAACATGTGTTTCTGATGCAATTCAAGACATTCAACTTACTGCGATGCCCCGGACATCCATCGCCTGAATGGGTCGAATATATATATTGGCTTCAGGGCGCAACCGACGGTCCACCATCGGTTGAACAGGAGCCTTTGACTCTGGTATGGGACGGTTCCGTTTCGCCATCGTTTTGCGATACTTGTCCTCTTTATGCTTCTTCACTGCCTGGACCTTGGCTTCAGCGGAAGCTAACTGATGAGGTTCATTCGTTTCCGGGTCAACCCTAAGTTCTGGAGCTGCCAGAGCGTGGAGATAGCTAGACACGTGTGTGAGGCGCTTCTGGTCCTGGCTGTCACTGGAATCGATGTGCTCTTCATAGATGATATCCTCGTAAAGCTCCCACCAAGGTAAGTAGTCGATGAGATCGTTGTTGTCTACCAGTTCAGGCTCGGACTTCGTTGTTACAAGTTTCTGCCAGTTCGTCCTAAGATTGTCGCCCTCAATCTTTACCTCCAGCCAGTAGCGAGGTGCAACTTCTTTGCCGAGAGTGAACGTGTTGGGTGGGAGGTAAACTTGGACCTTGTATTCGTCAGGGATTGCCGCAGCCCATCGCTCTATGTTAGCGCCAAAATGACGGTCTGCGTGACCTTTGCGTCCGGTCCAAGTCTCAGGAGCGGGCAGCCAGTTACCATCCCAGTCCGTCAGCTTCCTGGCGTCGTAATCCGGGTCTCCATTGCTGTCAGACCTGAAGCCGACGCCGCCATCACTGTCGCTGCTTGAGGGTATATACTTCATATCTTTTGCCTTGGGCCAGACTGTCTTCTTGTAGGGCTGTGGACCTCGGGGCCATCGTGGATTTCCCGGAGCTTTGGTAGTGGGAGGAGACTCGACCTTGGGCTGGTCCCAGCCGTTGTAGGTGGTGGGCTCAGGCATCGCAGATCCACGCAGCCCGTTCTTCCCATTGCTGGGCGACGTTGTTGGTGACGAAGCAGACGAATCTTGCTGATGATTCGCACCGTTGCTGCATACGTGTTAGTAAACCTGAATTGTATGATGTCTGTCACGGCATCGAGGCGCGATGGTAGACTTACGAGATGAGATCAGGCTTGCTGCTCATCCCGAGCTTCGACTGATTGGACGTAGAACGCGATCCATTGACAGCAACACCGCTGTCATGGGCAGAGTCTGCCTTTCCACCGTCGGCAGAGCTGCGGTTGCGGAGGTGAGGAGGGACGTAAACACTCGCTTTTCCGTTGGATGGCCCGGCCATGTTGTTGCCAATTTTCTTCTTCTTGTTGCGCGGGGATCTCTTGTTAGGCGGCTTCTGATTATTTACTGGGTCCGTGGGGCGGGGTGTAGTTGGAGAAGTAAGGTTGGCAGGTTCGACGGTACTAGCGTGGTGAGCGGTTGCCTTACCACGGCCGTTTCGACGCGGTTGCTTGGGTACGTTAGAGAATTCGGATTGCCGAGCTAGCCAGCTATCCGGGTCGTCTGGTTGTACGGGATCGTTCTCCTCAGCTGCGAATGGCACCCAGTGACGATGTCCAGATTGAGGCTTGTTAAGCTAGTGTTGTGTGTTAGTTGTGTTGTAAGAGTTGGTGAAGTGGGAAGACTGGGTGCAAGTGACAAGACTTATATGCCGTCACTCTGGGGCGGTATGAAGTCGGCACGGGAAGCGAGGTGCGCCTTCACTTACCGAGAGGTTTCCGAAGTCCTTTTCCTGCTGCCCAGTCATGGGTTCTTTGGCGAGCTTCGTGTCGACCTGAGCATCTTTGACCGTAGCATCGTCCAGCTCGATCAATGTAGGCAGTGGAGGCAGTGTACTGCGCGGGCACCAATTACGCGCGGTGCGGCTCATGATGCAGGTTTCCGATACTTCTGACTGGGAAGAGAACGAGAGGGCCCCAAACAATGCTAATGGGAGCAGAAGGAGCGACCAAAATGAAGAAGAAGAAGATATCCTTGAGATGTAGAAGCATCCAAAGGCCTGAGTCACGGTTTGCTAGTGATGAGTCTGCCTAATAAGTTTGGCGAGAGCATGCCAGCTTCGCCTCACCTCACCTCTTTCCTCATTGAATTTTACCTTGCCATGACACAACCCACGTGTTTACCGCTAGTGCCTACCGAGAACTGCAGGCAGCCACGATGGAAACAGAACATTACGGAAAGAGTTACCGATGCGACATCAAGACGTACCCAAATACACAGTGTCTTGAGACAACAAATGAACGTCTATCTGATGAAATCGACGAACGGATAATTAGACGAAATTTCCTGAGGGATTTTCCAGATTATAATCACTGATATAAAGTGGCAGGCGAGATGGAAGATTTCCGAAATTGCCGGAAGGCAACGTGATAACGGTGATGTTACTTTAGCATGCAATACCGTCACTTGGGCAGATGCAAGTGTCCGTAAACAGTTTAGCCGATAAAGGGACGAGCTCCACACTTACTTGACTGACTGCCTGACAGACTGACAGAACCCGAAAAGTGAAACGCACAAAATGCTGTCAATACTACGGAAGGCGCGTCTCAAGGACAAGGAGATGCGAATCTTGATGCTGTGCGTATTCCAAGAGTTTTTGCGAGATCGGAGGCTCACTGCATCAGTGGGCTTGACAATGCGGGAAAGACGACCATTGTGAAGAAGATCATGAACGAGGATGTGAACAGTGTCAGCCCTACGCTTGGTTTCATCATCAAGACGATCGAGTATGATGGGTACGTATGACAAACCTTGGCCGCCTGATGAGACTGACGGAACAGTTACAAACTCAATATATGTACTGCACCTGGTTGTTCCCTCACAAGCGTGTACTAACAGCACAGGGGATGTCGGTGGCCAGAAGACATTGCGGACGTACTGGAAGAATTATTTTGAGAAGACTGACACGCTCATCTGGGTTGTCGATGCGACTGACCGCGAGCGGATAGACGATTGTCGACAGGAATTGGCGGGGTTGCTGCTGGAAGAGGTTTGCACAAGCATGAACCCTCCCAAGCGTCACGAGCTAACGAAAGAAGCGTTTGTCTGGATCCAGTCTGCTTGTGTTCAAAAACAAGAGCGATGTGCCGGGGTCCATGACGGAAGACGAGATTCGCGAGGTGGGTGAGGGCTTAGGAAGATGTTGAGCCTGGTTGGCGGGCCAATGCTGACGGCGGCGTACAGGGACTGCGACTCGACGCCATCAAGACACACAAATGGCACATTATGGCCTGCAGTGCCATGACGGGAATGAACTTGCAGGAGGGGCTGGAGTGGGTGGTGCAGGATGCAAAGGCGCGACTGTTCTTGTATTGATGCTTGCCGGCATGCATCGCGGTGCCAGGGGCACGGCAGCCCAAAGGCTGGATGCGGGTAGTATAGCGGTAGTCGAATGACAAGCTCCAACCGCCCAAGTGTGGAGCTGGCGTCGACCGGCCGCAGCTGGACGTCGATGGTATAAACAAACAGCCATCGAGGCCGTCTGGACGACCTGCATCCCTCTATCTCGCTGCTTCTCTTCATCATTCGCTCATTTGGTGCTACCTGTCCGCGGGCTTACGTCGACATCGCATCTGAAACATACCCGAGCATTCTGGCTAGGAATGACATAACCGAGTCAAAGTAATTTAACGACCGTCTAGCTCCCAGATCCGCCTGGGATTCATCTCACTGCCGAGCAGCTTCAATCCTTGCGCATAACTCCCGTAGCGCACATTGGCCAGTGATAGCCTGCCTTTCTCGTCGCCCACAAGCACCATGGCGTCCGACGAGAGGGAAATCGACCCTTCCGAGTTTGTGCAGCGGATTCAACGGCTGGGCGACCAGCGGGACCGCGAAGATGCCGAGCGTGTCAAGAAGCTCGAAGAGGAGCTTATACAGGGCCGCAGCGAGCGACTAGCGCGCAGAGCAGGTTTGTTTTTATGCCCGTTAGAGTTCACGACGGCTGTTGACCCAAACAGAGCGAGCCCGCTCCATCTCCCCCGACAAGCCATATACGCCCCAGTCCCCGCGCTCTCAAGCTGCCACGCCCCGAACGGTGCAGGAAAAGGCTGCCAGCACGCCCACGCCCGCCATGAGCCCGCCAAGCCAAGACGCCGCCCGCGACGACTCGCTGCAGCGCCTCACGAGCTCGCCCACGCCCTCCGCCCTCGACGACACCGAGCCCAAGAAGCCCGCCACCAGCGCCGCCGCATTGGGGCGCTCCGGCACCCTTTCGTGGAACCAGAGGCCCAAGTCCGGCAGCATACGGCGGCCGCTGTCAGTCGCATCGCGGTCCCCCGAGCGCCCGTCAGCCAGCAACACACCCGAGCCGCCAGCGTCGCCCGAGGCCAATCCCTCCAGAACCTCCATCGCCGCCTCGCTAGGCGCCAAGGACCCAGCGTTCTTCCGACAGACACAGGACAGTGGAAGGGGCGCAGCGGCATACAGGAAAAACCAGGACGAGGCAGCTTCAGAGACAGGTTCCGTGTCGGGCAGGAGACAGCTGCCGGGCATGTCACGCGAGTCTACAACAGAGCCCGAGGTCAGTAGCCCGCCTGCCGAAAGCATACGCTCCAGCTCGCCCGGCTCTCGCGGCGGCTCGGTACGCGGCAGCGCCATGCTGAGCAACCGCTTTTCCACCAACACGTCGGTATCAGGGGGCGACGCTGAGCCGCTCGCCAAGGGGCGCTCTCCTCTCCCGACGCTCGACTCGCAAAAGTTCGCCCCGCCGTCTGAACAAGGCTCCTCGATCGACGGTGGGGACAGCGAACGTGCCGCACGCGCCCTTGCCATGTCGCCGACACAAGGGAGGATTTCGCCCGAACGGGAACGATCTGCCTCGCCTACCAAGGGCATGGGCGGCTTCGTGCAAAGCGCGATGCTCAAACGCAGCGATAGCGTAAGCAAGCGGTGGAGCACCCAGACACCGCCAGTCCTGAGCAGACAAAACTCTACCCTGAGCAACCGCGGAAGTGCCATAACAGGCTACGGCTCACTCTCCGGCCTCGACCGACCTAGTCTGAGCAGAGACAACTCCATCGAACCTTCGTCCTCCTCGCGTCCCGCCTCGAGCTACAGCAATGCGACCATCACGGGCGCCGACAAAGACAGCGCACCCAAAGACGAGTTCGTGAAGCCAGCCCTCCCTCACCGTCACAGCCGAGCCAAGTCTGTCGCGTCCACCTTCAGCGACAAGGACGCACTCAACGACGACTTCTCGCCCCCGAGCCCCTCGAAGCGGTGGAGCCCTACAAAGTCGACTTGGCTGGAGAGCGCGCTGAGCAGGCCAGAGTCGCCCAAGCCCAAGCAAGCAGCGCCGGCGCAGCCTGCGTGGATGGCAGAGATCAACCGCATCAAGCAACAGCGCAGTAGTGTTGACCTGGGCAAAGGCAGCCCGTTCGGAGAGCCATCGTCTGGTCGCACCTCGCCCATCAAGGACATACAACTGAAGCCTGTCGGTCTTCGCCGACCCGAGTCCCCCAAGAAGGAGGAAGGCGCTGAGCCCATGAAGATGGAGACAGTCAAGGAGCAGTCACCCAGCCCAACACCCGCATTGGCACCGAAGCCCTTGTTCGCCAAGAAGTCGGAATCCAAGCTCGCGACTGAGACACCAGCAGCGGTAGTTGAGCCTGAAGTCGTCAAGGACGCTCCTGAAAAGGCTGCTGTAGAAGCACCCGCTCCTACCCCCACCAAATCGCAATCACCGCCGCCAACAGCTGAACAGCCAGCAACGCCCACCGAAGCCAAGCCGGTGGCATCGCGATTCACACAGGATACAGGTCGTGGGTCTCCAGCGGCGAGGCCGAAAACCCCACCCAAGAAGGACTTCCGCGCCGGGTTGAAGCCACGCCGACCGCCGCCTGACAATTCGAAGAAGGATGGCGAGGTCAATGAGTTGCAGAACGTCTTTGGCCGGCTACGAAAGGCCGAAACCAAGAACTATGTTGCGCCTGACGTGCTCAAGGATAACATCACACGAGGGAAGACCGCGCTTAACGTGACTGGTGGGCCCAAGCCTACAGTCCGGAAAGACGAGTTCAGGGAGAGCCTCATTAAGAGGAAATCCACCATCTTTGACAAGGCCCAGGAAGAGGGCTCGGCATTGAAGCGATCCGACAGCGCATCGAAACCATCTCCTCCAACACCAGAAGCTATTGCAAAGAAAAAGGGCCTGAGCCGAGCAGACAGTGACCCAAAGGCTGGCGCTCCGAAAGAACCAGAACCCATACCAGAAGCTCTGGTCAGGAGGAAGAGTTTAGCTGCAAACAAGGCCATCATGAATGATAAGCCAGCACAGCCCGCATCCTCTACGACAAAAGAGCCAGCCATGTCTGGCAAGCTCGCGGGTCGCTTCAACCCTGCACTAGCCGGTATGCTCGCTCGAGGGCCACCACCTCTTGCGACGAACAAGTCTACATCAAGTGCTGAGGTAGACGTGTCTCCTACCAGGCCTGCGCAAGAAGAGAAGACTGGACCTGCCCCAGAGCTGCAACACATGACCAAGGGTCGCGCCCGCGGACCGAAGCGAAGGGCGCCGAAATCCACGACTGCCGGACCGGAAAAGACTCAGGACAAGGCTCAGGACAAGGCTCAGGACAAGGCTCAGGACAAGGTTGAGGAAAAGGCTCAAGAGAAGGTACCTACTGCTGCTGTTGCTCCTTTGGTGAAACCAGAGCATGTCCTTCCTAGCTCCGAGGTTTCCAAGACTAACGGAAAATCAGAGGAGCGACCAGTAGCCAGGACGCCGGTCAGACAGTCGTCGACTGATAAGCCTGCCACGCCTGCCAAATCATCGCGCATCTCTTCCGGAAATTTCGGAAAGACGTCCACTCCGGAGCTTCCCAAGAAGCCAGAGTCTCTGGAGCTCGACCGAAGAGTATCTGGACCCCAAGCCACCCCGAAGACGCCACGGCCCGAGTCTATCAACTCACCGAAACCATCATCACCCAGAGTACCGAACAAGCCAACATCTCAAGAATTTGAAAGACGCGTCTCTGGATCGCATAGCACGCCGATGAAGTCTCCACTACCAAAGCCAGTCGAAACACCAACGTCCGCATCACCCACACCGACACCGACATCGCATTCTCGATTCTCCCGTCCACTCCCGACGTTGCCGCAAACAGTGCCTTCAAAACCAGCAGCGGAGAGTCCTAGATCAACGCCACTTAGGGAAATATCAACACCCAATGTAGAGATCTCACCAGCTAAGGATGAGCCCTCGCCCGAGAAGACGACGTTTTCCTCGGTCAAGAGCGCCACCACGCTATGGGGTAGGTCGTCGGCGTCTTCATCACCCGCTCCAACAAGGGTGAAGTCCCCCATCAAGCTACCAACGCAAGCGGACGAACAAGCTGCGATGAAGGACGCCGGACTGGTTCGCTCATCAGAGCCAGAAACCAAGGCCCTTCCCAACCCGCCACAGCCCAGCCAACAGTCACCGACTGAATCGAAACCTCTGCCACCAAAGCCGAAGCCTGTTGGCCTGGGCTTCAGCCTTGGAAGTCTGGGAGGATTTGTCGCGTCTCGGTCACGGGACTCAAGTCCTCAATTACCCAAGAACGCGCCTATGTCACCACCAGGAAGCGCCAACAGGCCATTCTCAGAGCCATCCATTGTATCGCCAACCATCCCAAAGCACGACGGGATGTTTGCCGACTTCTTTGATGAAGCGCCCGTCACAGAGGGCCAGCTTCCCGACAACGTAGACACTATGTACACACTAAAATCGCCACCACTTGACCTTGGTCCGTCAGGAAAGATTCGTACATTACGCAAGCAGATCCAAGAAGTAACCGGTGACGGGAGACTTACATCTATACCCATGCAAGAAGAGCATATCTTGTTCCAAGATTCAATGTACTTGTGCACGCACGTCTATGGTGATGCAAGGGGCGGAAGACACACGGACGTGTACCTATGGGCCGGCAATGGTGTGCCCGAACCTACTCTGGATGATGTGCAACTCTTCGCAAAGAACCACGCACGACAAAACCAAGGGACACTTCTAGTCATCCGTCAAGGTCAAGAGACACCGAACTTCTTTGAGGCTCTGGGTGGTATTGTCATCACACGACGTGGCGCAAAGCCAGGATCCAAGGAGTTCATGCTTTGCGGCCGTCGCCATCTCGGACACCTCGCCTTTGATGAAGTAGACTACTCTCTCAAGAGCCTATGCTCCGCCTTTCCCTACCTCGTCTCCACTTCGACCGGCAAGGTATACTTATGGAAAGGTCGCGGCTGTTCCGCTGAGGAGGTGTCCGGTGCTCGCCTCATGGGCATGGACCTTGCGCCCACGGGCGACTACAACGAGATCGACGAGGGTGCCGAACCTCAAGCCTTCCTCAACAACACATTTCCTCCCTCTCAAGTGCCAGCAAAGGGTCCTGCCATCCCACGCTCAGCAGACCACTGGCGCTACAAAGCCACCTCGGATAAGTACCGCGTGCGTCTCTACAAGATTGAACAAACGACCGGCCAACCGGCAGGATGGGGCCAAGCACTCCAGGTGAGCAGCTCCTTTTTCGCACCGCTGCTGCGGAGACCGTCTTGGAACGCTGCTGAACAGAGGCCACAGACGCCGCTTACGCCCAAGACGCCGCACGGTGCTGTCAAGACCGAGGTCAAGGAGATTATGCCTTTCTCGCAGAGGGATCTGGAGCCGGAGAACGTATATGTACTTGACGCGTTCTTCGAGATGTACATGTAAGTTGCCCCGTCATTGCAGATGTCTGCCACAGTTCACTAATTCTTCGCAGTATCGTTGGCCCCTTGTCTCGCACACAAGCGCCTGCATTCTCCACGGCTCTGATGTTCGCGCAAGCGTACGGCATGCTCGCTGTATCGGAAGAAGACCGTCCGTTCATGCCCGTGACTACGGTCGTACTAGAAGGTGTACCTCGCGACATGAAGGTTCTGTTCCGACACTGGGACGACAAGCTCATCCCCGCTGCTGGCTTGATGAGCGGTAAACTTGGCCGAGGCAAGAGTTTGAGGATCGTCGGTCTGGAGAAAGCCATTGAGGCTACGCGGCGCTAGAGGGTGGACGAAAGCATTCGTGCTTGTTACTGTGTTGTCAGGAGCGTCTCGAAGGCGAATTGCATTGTTGCGCCTTACCTTCCATGTACATAAGTTATGCCTGCACTATATTCGGCGGCAGGTGCCCTAGGCTTGCACAACGGCGTCGCGGCGTCACTACGGACCGGCCTATGGCTGAAGTCGTTGAGGCAGTATTCTCGCTCACGCGACCTGTATATCATTACGTTGCTCAATCTTGTTCCCGGTTGATATCTGTTTCTCATTTCAACGGCCTTGTTTTCCAGCTGATGAAGAAACAACATCAATCTAGACCGTTGGAAAAGAACGTCGTCGTGAACATAAACGTGGGCCCAGAACGTCAACAGAGCATGATCGGAAATGAGAGGGAGGTTCCCGCGGCGGGTACGCGATGTTTCAGCTGAACCGATGCAGGAACTGTTCACCCGCACTGGGCCGTATCCTTCTCGCCCTCTGGCTAGCACCACCGGTTCGATCTCGTTTCGCGGACTAATATGTAAATCTTCTGACCATGACTTTTGCCTTGGTGATGATCATTGATCTTCTAGGGTGTTCTGCCGTCTTTCTATTATCGGAACAAGTTGAGGAGACAGCACCTTGCGCGAAACTGGTGGAAACGTCATGACATGTGGCGCTGTCTCATGCGCATAGTGGCGGGCTGTGCCTCAGAAACATGAGGCGATAGTTGATGCCCTAAGGGTGTTTCACCGGGGATTTGCATTGTAGTCTTGTTTGCATGACGGTGTTGTTATGGGTCGTTCTGGCATTGTAGTTACCACTGTTTCTTCGATGGATGAAGTGAACTGCAAGAACACCGAGATAATGATGGACGAGTGTCGTTCACCTGTCGAAACCTTCTGTTGCTTACAGTTTCGCGTGGTCCCGCCGGTACTTCTCTCGGCTCTCCGTAGCGGCCGCTGCTGGTGCTGACTTGCCTAAAGACGCCTGGATCCGTCTGACGCGATCAGCACAGGCACACTGACTATTTCCCCCTCCCTTACACCGCATTCACATTGTACTCGGTCACAGAACACGTCAATGCTGCCAGAATAGCCACCGGTATGTTTCTTCGCATGGCAGGAAGTCCCAGGGTATCCAAGCCTTCCCAAGCTTTTGCCGAGGGAAATAAGCACGCCGATCCATGCAACCATCTGCAGGAATGGGAGGAAACGCCAGGGCTTCCCCACAGAACACTATAGTCATCTACCGTAGCTTGACGGAGCTTAATTAATCGGGGGTACTGCTCATTTACACTACTGGTGGAATGGTCTGAGGACCAGGGTTCGAGCAACGGAATGCGTCCCCCGGGGCTCGGGAGCACGTTTACATGCGGATAGTGGCAAGCGCTCAGATGGCGAGGCGACAGCGGCTTCGGTCGTAGACCTTGAAACAATCGCAATATGTTTGGTGCGAGATGTTTACAGCCTTTTAACCGTCAAGTCGTATATAGACCAAGGCTTGGAAGGACGATTAAGCTCACCACCAAGCATCTACACAAGCAGCCTTCACTTCCACATTCTCTTCTTCACTACCAATCAACGTTCTTTTACAACAAACCCACTTTTCCAACCTTTCCAATCTTCAAAATGGTTGCCTTCAGCTCTATGGTCCTCGGCCTCACCGCCATTGCCGGCTCTGCCTTTGCCGCACCCACTGCCGATGTCCCTGACTTCGAGCTCGGCTCCAAGAGCCTCGCCGCCCGCCAGGACTACAACCAGAACTACAAGACCTCTGGCAACGTCCAGTTCAGCCCCACCAACAACGGCTACAGCGTCAACTTCTCCAACGCCGGCGACTTCGTCGTTGGAAAGGGCTGGAACAAGGGCACGACCCGCAAGATCAACTTCCAGGGCTCCACCACGCCCCAAGCCGGTACTGTCCTCGTCTCCGTCTACGGATGGACCACCGGCCCCTTGGTCGAGTACTACATCCAGGAGTACACCTCCAACGGCGCTGGTTCCGCCCAGGGCACCAAGATGGGCCAGGTCACCTGCGACGGCTCCGTCTACGACATCTGGAAGCACACCCAGGTCAACCAGCCTTCCATCCAGGGCACCACTACCTTCACCCAGTACATCTCCAACCGTGTGAACAAGAGGCCCGGCAGCGGCACTGTCACCACCAAGTGCCACTTCGACGCCTGGGCCAAGCTCGGCATGAACCTCGGTCAGCACAACTACCAGACTCTTGCCACTGAGGGCTGGGGCAACGCTGCTGGCAAGTCCCAGTACACCATCACCGGCTCATAGAGTGTTGACACACTTTTTATGAGGAGCCACTGAGTGGCTTTGGACAATGACCTGGATCAAGCATTGATTTGTTTCGCTGGCGCAATGCAGTGAACTACTGAGGAGCTTGGTTGTTGAGGGTTTTCTTGTTGTAGATTTTTGGTTTTCTTCGTTCCTTTCTTTCGATTCTTTGGGGTCTTGACATACTCCTCGCATGTACATATTGCATCTTTTTGCTGGAAAAAATTCACTCTGGTCTGTTGTCTTGAAGACAGACAGCTATAAAACTTGCTTCTTTTGCACGTGATGTTTCTTGTGATGTTGAATTGAACAATGACCACTGTGCTGGTTTGGTAAGTGGTACAGCTAGCAACTCCCCCTTTAGCTACAAAGCCGGATACTTCTGAATCTAGCGCCTTCGGAAAGAATGCGCTGGGTTTGCGATGAATGACGTAAAATGAAGATTTGAAGTCGTACGAGAAAAGACGGATGATGTGGACTTGATCGCAGGTTATCGAGATTTTAAAAATCGAAACTCATTTTCTTCTTTCTGAATGAAACGTTGCGACATGAAGATGCCTGCGCCTAATAGTGATTACGAAGATGTGTTCCGCTGGTAAGTGCATACTCGCTTCGTTCTGGCGTGGAAGTCCAACGCAGGATGAGTAGTAACTTCAAATGCCTGGGTTTCGTGGTTCTGAACACAGCCAAATGCGTTGATTGATAAATCGCCGTTGTGTCGCGTATATGCTCGCGGTATCGGCCTTGCGCTTGTTTCGCTCCCATCATGCACTGAAGTAATGTTAGTAGGGCATCTGCACGCAACAAACAAACTCGGCAAGACAGCCGTCGTGTTTCCCCGAGGACGGACTCTTTGAAACCCTCAAAGCTACCACGATCATCGCGCACTTGAAAATACAACTTCAAAGATCAGCGCGGACCATGGCCAGGCCTCAGTCAGAGGTAAAGACGCGTACTATTCTCCGTTGGAACTTCTGGGTCTGGGGCGAATAGTTTGATGATGTTCGTCTAACAAGTCACCGAAGTTGGAACGCGTCTTCTCAACGAAGATTCGAGGGATGCGATGCTGATTTGGGGTTTCTTTTTGACGGACTCTTTCCTATGGTAACAGCCGATACGATTTTTTTGTGGATTCTGAGATTCGTAAATGACGCTCTTGCTGTTGTTGTTGATGACGAGCGTCCAGGGCTGTCGCCCACGTTGGAGAGAGTGGCCCGTGCACCCACTAAAAAATAAGCGACGTGGGCTCTTGTCGAAATACCTATCCATTGTGCGAACTCCAACGACCGACAATCCAACTCACATCAACACCGTCGTCATGGGTAGGGTCATTCGCAACCAACGTAAGGGTCGCGGCTCTATCTTCACGGCCAACACCCGCCTGAACAAGAACCCCGCCCAGTTCCGCACGCTCGACTTCGTACGTTCGCCGCCCGCACAATCGCGATATTGGACACACACACATATTGGGATATGAGGGCTAATGGGTGCAGGCTGAGCGCAATGGTTACATTCGGGGTGTCGTAAAGGAGATCGTCCACGACTCCGGTCGTGGTGAGTACCCAGCCGCGATTTGGACGTCTGGGCCATTTTTAACGATTTCGTGAACAGGCGCTCCCCTCGCCAGGGTCACCTTCCGCAACCCCTACAAGTTCAAGCAGAACACCGAGACCTTCATCGCCAACGAGGGCATGTACACTGGCCAGGTCAGTCGAGATACCCCGGGCTACAACAACGCGAATTATGTCTAACATTGCCAAGTTCATCTACGCCGGAAAGAACGCTGCGCTCACCATCGGCAACGTCCTCCCCCTCGCTTCCGTCCCCGAAGGTACCGTCCTCACCAACGTCGAAGACAAGAACGGTGACCGTGGTGCGCTCGGCCGTACCTCCGGTAACTACGTGACCGTTATCGGCCACAACCCCGATGAGGGCAAGACCCGTGTCAAGCTCCCATCTGGCGCCAAGAAGGTCCTTCCCAGCTCATGCCGTGGTATGGTCGGTATCGTCGCTGGAGGTGGCCGCACAGACAAGCCTCTCATGAAGGCGTCGCGTGCTAAGCACAAGGTATGTATTGTGGTCGTTTCTACATCAGCGCAATCACTAACACCCCACAGTTCGCTGCCAAGCGCAACAGCTGGCCCAGGACTCGTGGTGTTGCCATGAACCCCGTCGACCATCCCCACGGTGGTGGTAACCACCAGCATATCGGTAAAGCCTCGACCATCTCCCGGTACGCCACCCAGGGTCAAAAGGCCGGTCTCATCGCCGCGCGGAGGACAGGTCTGCTCCGTGGTACCCAGAAGACAAAGGACTAGAGTGGTGCTTTGTGATCTGGTGGCGTTGGTCTACGACAGGAACGACAAAGATGCGGTCGGTTATTCTCTCCATACCTCTATATGCGGGTGGCCGGGCGTTATAACGAAATGGAAACTTCTCGGCAAGCTAGGCTTTCTTCTACTGTGGCTTGCATGCATGATAGGTTCTTAGGGAATGTGATTCCGAAAAATGCATCTGGTCTGAACTTCTGATATCGTCCACCATTCATTGTATCTGTCTGTGCTGTGACGTTGTGTTCTGATACTAAATATGTTTTATAGCAGATCCCTCAAGGTTTTCATGTCGCAGGAATGCATGTCACGGCTTGATCTGTGAAATCGGACATTGTTACGGATCAACAACCCTCACGCTCCACCCATCTCCACATCGCCATCTCTGTCCTCCGCTTCGCTCTCAGTCCCAGTCCCACTACCCTCATCTCCGTCTTCCTTGTCCTTCTTCATCCTATAGTCCATGTCCAACACGCGATAATGTTTCCTATCATCGCCCAACACAACAATCACTCTCCTGCCCTTCCTGCCATTCACAACCAACTTCATCGGAGTGAACCGGCCTTCAAACACATGTTGCGTGTGCTTCTGAACCAAATCTTGCGTTACAAGTATCTTGTTTCTTGGTGACGGCGGCGGTGTACCCTGCGGAAGAAAATGTCGCTGTAGCGAAGACTGCGGAAGCGGGGTGTAGGTAATGAGAGGGTGTTGGTGAGGTATGTCATTCGCGGCGGGTGTGTACGGTAGTGAGACGATGACGTTTGATAGCGATTTGTCCTCTGAGGGGAGCTGCAAGAGGATGAGAAGACAGGCGTCGTCTGCGAACTTTGCGTCGAGGATCTTGATGTCTTTGGTCGAGTGAGAGGCGGATGAGAAGTCGAGGGTAGAGATGGCGTAGGCGTGGATGTCGCGCTGTAGATTGGATATGCTCTGTGCGTGTGAGATGCGGTGGATGTGTAAGAGAGTGGGTGATGAAGGGGGTGAGAGCGCGATGTAGGTGCTCATGCTGTCTGAGGTCGATGATGGCTGTGTGGTGTTAGTATGTATGACTTCTCGAGCGTTGGTGGAAGAAGGAAGGAGGGTAGCATACCTCAAACACCATTCTCATGTCAAGTACGCCCATTTCCCCGCTGTTATCAATCTCTTCGAGAACAACACCATAGTTCATCTGGATGTTGGCTTCCTGCCACCTACTAATCTGCTTCAGCAGCCCCGTGACACCTGTGCTCAAATGCCCAAGCACATGTTCCAAGCACAGCGCCTCCTCTTTGAACGTTGCACCTTCTTTCAACAACTCGATAGCCTTCTTCGTATCATCATAGCTTGCTTCCTCCCTGCCCTTAGCTTTACCATCCAACTGCGCCTCTGGTCTGAGAAATGGCGTAACATCCGACTTAGTAAGCCCATACTGGATATACGCCAGTACCTGCGAAACATCGACACCCGGATCGCGCTGTTCCATCTCAGCTCTAGACTGCGAGTCCAACTCCGTAGCCTCAAAGTCAATGGTGAATCTCAGCCATTTACTGAAGCTGTGGAACTGTCTCTTCTCTTCCGATGCGTACAACATGGCTGTGTGGGCTAGTAATCGCATGTTCTTCAGCGTCTCTAACAGCGACGAGAAATCTGACATTGGTCCGCTGAAGATCCAATCTCGGTCGTGGAACTGCGCAAGTCCACGCAGACGCGAGATGACAATCGAACAACGGTCGAGTGCTGGGATGAGGTTCTCGTGAAGCAGAGCAAGAAGCGTGGTGAATGAGGAAGTAACGGTGTTGTCCCAGCGCTTGTGTCCTGCTTCTGCCAACTCGTCGACAAGCCATTCTTTGAGAACGGGATTGCAGTTTCCTGTGCATGCTGTGTGGAAGAGGTTTGTGACAAGATCGCCTAGTTCCTTCTCTTCGAGTGTTTCGCTAATGTTCATCATGAATTTTCGGGGCAGGTCTTGCGCGTGCTTGAAGAAAGCGCGGACGCGTTGGAGAGTCTGGGTGATGTATAAGAGCAGGTTCTGTAGTTGTGATGTCTTTGCTGCAATGAGATGCAGATAGATGCCTGCGGAGGGGATGAAGTTCAGTGTCAGAGGGATATAGGCGATGCTCTTCCTTTGTGGCGAGGTGGCCGATGACGTTTGCATCAGGAGGCTGTGTGTACAGCTGTATGGGTGACTTGTATGCAGTATTGGCGTGCTCGACATGTTCCAGGCTCTCGGGAGCTGGACGTTGACTGTTTCGAGCGAGTCGTATATCGAGGGGTGGACGGTTCCACGGTCGGTCAGTCGAATGAACATGTCGACAGAGTTGTGGTCTTTCAGATGATGCGAATGCAGAAGCGAGTCCACCTCCGCTTGCGAACTGAACGCTCCAGTATCCACCTGTGAGACGCGCATGAAGGGTAATGCTGGTGCAAGGGGAATTGCGGGGAGTTTGGGTAGCACCGATTCCATATCCATCATAGCAAGCTGATCCGGCAGGTCAGGCGCGATGTCCAAGGTCTGAAAGTCCGGCTGTCGCTGCAGAAAGTCCTCCAGCGTGGTATCATCCTTGAACGCATCCCATTCCTCCGTCGTCGGATTGCCAAAGACATCAGTCTTCGCAGGCGTAATGCCGTTGGCATTCTTCGGTTTCAAGCCGGTGCGCTTCTTCACAGTCTCCACATTGATGAAGTTCAGGCCCCAGCCTATACACCTTACCCTAGCTGGATTCTCGTCTTCTACCATGCTACCAGTGGCGCCCTCAACTTCCGGCAACATGACGTCTTTGTGCGTAACCTTCCCCGTCTCGGCACTCACCAAGTCCGTGCTTCCATCGCTCCAACTGACAGCGATGCTCTTGCCGTTGAACTCCCACTGCAGCGCATCAACGCGCAAATCCTCGCTCTTTCTTTTCAGTCCAAATGCTCTTTGACCATTAATTCGGTAGACATCGAGGCTCTCCTCATCTGTAACTAGCGCTATGAGATCCATGGTAGGGCAGTACGAGATGAGATGTGGATGTATCGGGTGCAGCAAGATCTTCTCCGCTTGCTGCAACAGCTGCGGCCCATTGCTCGAGTCGGTCGTGGCCATGGCTGTAAGTAGTCGGCCCCAAAGGCCGTTGCTGAGGAAGTCGGTTCGTAAGTGGAGGATAATGGTTTGTTTGTGCACATGGAAGTCGCGTTCTAGACCAGATCTGTGCCTAGCGCGCTCGCGCTATCACGTTGTTCAACATGACAAAAGCCAAGAAATGCAGGAACGGACAGTAAATTGTCTTCTTCAACATGGTATCGTACGAGATGCACTTCTCACGGAGGTTGTAAAGTACGTGACACGTGAAATTGATGCCTGATAATTGAACATAGAAAATATTTGCAATTCGAGTGCTAAAGAAAGATACCATCCTTCCTCTATGCCTTCTGGGTATACATATCATGCTATCATAGTACAAGTACAAGTGGCCGGCACCTTAATCCGAGGCGCCTGTTCCACTACCCTAAACCCCATGTTACAAATTTCACCTCAAACGCCACGATGCGATACAATGCAATTCCGCAAACCAGTCGTGTTCTCAAACGTAGGAGTTGTCTCCGTATGTGTTGAGACGCCCAAGACTGGCAAAAGCCTGCACCCATCGACTTTCATCATCAGTCTACCTGTTTCATCGGACTGACGAGTTCCTCTTCGGTTGTACCGACTCTTTTTGCACACGCCCTCTGCCTGTGCCGCTGAGTCTACCATTCAACCTTGCCTCCTCGTCGAAGCTTGTTCGTTTGGTGTTTTGGCCACCCTCCAAATCATCGTCGCTGTCGGCCAAATCTCCAAGCTCGAACTGGTTCTCAACGTCGTAGTCATGCATCAGCGCGCTACGGTCGCCAGCGTCCGCATAACTAGGCCTGCCATCACGAACGACACCAATCGACTGTCGCTCAAACAGCTCTTCGCTGCGCCGCGCTTGCATACTGCGTCTTGTAGGGAAACCGGATATGGCGTCAGAAGGCGGGCCGTCGGTGAAACGCGAGCCGTATGCGTTGCTGCCGTTGGGGTCTTCGCGCGAAAGGTTCAATAGATATACGCCGGAGAAGATGATGAGGAAACCACAGAGGAGGGAAATGGTATTGACGGCAGACGTGGTGTTGAAGCCTTGGAAGAGGAGGCAGGACGCGATGAGGGTGCAAGTCGTGAACATGACGTAGTAGAGGGGGTTGACACTGTAGTGGTGCGTTAGCATTCGCTGGTGAAACTTGAGGATGCAGGACGTACATGTTCGTTGAGAACTGGCTCAAGGCCTTGTTGAAGTAGTTCATCTGTGTGAGAATGCAACCAACCACCAAAATTACGAAGACGTATGTGGAGGGGTGCGTGAACTGGTTATTGCCCGCAAATGTCATCTTGAGGGCGATACCGAAGGCCTTGATGAACATGATGGAAACGGAGCCGGCGGTCGAGCAAATGGAGAGGTAAATGAGCGGGTTTTTGCGACCGTACTTGGGCGCAACACTGTAGATCATGAAGATGCAGAAGACGACACAGAAAGCGCAGTAGAAGAGGAATCCTAAAAACGTTGCGTTAGTCTCTGTCGTAGCCTAACTGCAGAAGCGCGCATAAACGTACCTGGCTGAAGCGCAAGGTTCAAGATCTCCTCGACTGACTCAACCTCTTTGTCCGGCGGCGCATGTAGCACGATAATGACAGATCCGATAAGACATATCGCGCAGCCAATCTTGCCCAGAAGTCCTAGTTGTTCGTCCAGGAAGTATGAGCCGAGTACCGCACCGATAAGAACTGAAAGGGCGCCGAGGGGAGTTACGAGGATGGCAGGCGCGAAGGCGTATGCCGCGAAGTTGAAGATCTCGCCGAGTACCACTGTATGCCATCAGTCACGCACACGGCGTAGCATCGCGTGTGCACCCACTCGTTGTTATGCCGGCCCACCACACAGGGTTCTGTAGGTATCCAAAACCGTCGCCGTTGAAGCCCTGCTTCTCCATCGAGGCATTGAGGCCCTTCTTCGTAA